GTGTGGTGTGTGTGTGTGTGTGCGCGTGTGTGCGTGAATGCTTGCTTGCTTGCTTGCTTGCTTTAGTGTCTCTCTCCTTTCTTGTCTATTTCTTACTTCCAATAATATCAGAGACCTTGATCTAGCAATCGACCCGACCCGACCCGATCGCGTATGTGGGCACCCCCTATTAGTGTTTTGACCCATTCATACATTTTCTGCAAAACCCGTAACATCACTAGACGAGACAGGCAGAGAAATGAAGAAGTAAGAGCAGCTATTGGCACTTGGTCCTGCTTGCATGTTATAGAAAGAGATAAAATAAAATGGTTTAGCAACCTGTTACAGTATGGCACCTAGTCAGCCAGCCTCGAGAGCCTATAACACCAAGCACTCAGGCTATAAAAAAATTTGAAGGCCACGCAAAAGGGGGATTGAGGGTGTCAAGGAGACCCTGAGAAATCATAATATCCCAATTGAAAGAGCTGCAAAGCCGGCCTACCATAGAAAACTGCCCCCCCCCCACTCCGAACGCTGAACGGCAACAGAGGATGAAAAAGTAAAAGTAAAGTTACATCTTTTCTCAGGGATGTTTGTTTGGTTTTTTTTTTACTTTAGGCTATACAAATTTTGGTTTAATTCCTCAAATGGCCGTTTTTAAACCTTTCTTGGTTGTATTAGAAATAATGTTCAATTTGGCGGAAACTCTTTTCACAATAACCGAGAGTGTTGTAAGAATCATAAATACCAATTTTCTATTTTAAGCGGCTTCTTATTTTTATAGCATGATATACTTTTTAGAGTGCTTAATATCACTCATGTGAAAGGAAACGTGTAGACTCAAAAGACTAGATTCTTTTACACGATCAAAAAGTTGTACATTTTAATGACCAGTATTGATGTTTCTGACTTTCTTTCCCAATGTTATAGGGAAGCACCCAGGGGCAGAAATTAAAAAAAATATTTAAATACATATCTTTTTAGATATCATCTTAATAATCAGTCAGTCAGTCATCATCACCATCACCACCACCACCACCACCACCACCACCACCATCACCATGATCATCATCATGATCATGATCATGATCATGATCATCATGATCATCATCATCATCATCATCATCATCATCATCATCATCATCATCATCATCATCATCACTATCCTTTCATTCAGGTGATGGTCAACGGTAGATGGAAACGCAGGAAGGTGTGTGAGATGATGTATGAGCGATTCAGCTACGCCATTCCCCTGGAGATTATTTACCTCACACCACTGCTCAGCTGGAACCCATACAACATCGAGACTGGCAAGGTATGCACGCACACGACTAATGATTGAACCCCCCCCCAAAAACCCCCCCAAAAACAACAACAACCAAACAAACACACACACACAAAAAAAAAACTATTAAAAAACCAAAAACCC